TGCTGTAATAAGAAGAAACAGAGAGAGAAACATAGGCATAAAGAATTAAAATGGCAATAAATAAGGACCTATCAGTAATAACCTTAAGGACTTTAAGGGAGCAATCAACAGCAATACAGTCATAGTCATGGACTTGAATATCCCACTGACTTCACTGGATAGATCTTCCAGACAAAAAGTCAACACAAAAATAATGACTCTAACTTGCACACTAGATCAGATGGATTTAATTGATATTTACAGAACATTTCACCCCAGAGCTGCAGAGTATACATTCCTCTTAAGTGCCCGATAGCTTATTTAGCTGACCTTACTTAGAATGCGGTGTAATGTGGTAGCACGAAGAATTTTGAATTCTTGGGAGTAGGTTCAAGTCCTATAATTCTAGAAATAAGAGGGCTTAAACCTCTATGTTTTACTCTATCAAAGTATTTCTTATGTTTGAGGTGGGATGCTTGCTAAGATGATAGACATGGTTACGTGTCATATACATAGGGCTAATGTAAGAGGAAGGAAATTTTTTCATAATAGATGCATTAGTTGATCATATCGGAGTTGAGGGTATGATGCTTGTACTCATAGGAATGATACGGTAAGCAAAGATAGACCACATGTTAGGACACAAAACAAGTCTCTACAAGTTCAAGAAGATTGAAATCAGATCAAGCATCTCAGATCACAAGGGCATGAAATTAGAAATCAACTACTGTAAAAACACTCAAAAACATCCAAACACATGGAGGCTGAATAACATGTTATTAAACAATGAATGGGTTACCAATAAGATCAAGAAAAAATAACAAAACTTCCTGGAAACAAATTTAAATGAACACACAACAACCCAAAATCTATGGGACACAGCAAAAGCAATCCTAAGAGTGAAGTTCATAGCACTGTAGGCCTACCTAAAAAAGCAAGACAAATTTTTAGTAAACTATCAAACCCTACAACCTAAAGAATTAGAAAGCTCCCCTGTACGGCTGTCCTGACCAGGGCTTTT